TACCTCTGAGAGCATTTCTGAGTCTGCTGCAACGTGGAGGAGACTGGGCAGTAGAGGCCTCCCAGCTCTATGCCGTCAGGCAGATGTACTCCTGTTACAGAATGTTTTGAGATGTAAACACTACCAGTACATGTCAGTATGTGTATTTTTGGTTAGAAATTGTAATCTGTGTTCTGATGCTCTGATTTATTTGTACCTTACAGACAAACACATCATTTCAACAACTTTTTTTTTTTTTTTTAAATAATGCTGCCAACCTCCTTTTCTATTTAATATGTGAGATGCTGAAACATTTTGGAGAAAAATCACACAAACACATAAATTGGCATTTCTTTAAATTCCTGGTTTCTGATCTCAACTGGGCCCTTGAAGCTTTCTTGTGATCCTTCCACAGGTGTCCTTCATCCTTTCGTCCCTTCCATTCTCATCTCTGGGGGGAGCGGGCCTTTTCCAAAATAACCCACCTGGGTGACTATGAGAGGTGATCAACATTAGCAAGAGAGAAGTTGCCTCTTCTTTAGGTGATCCTTTCTGAAGGCCCCTGCTAGGATGGGCACAAGGATGGCTCTCTCCGGGCTCAGACACAAGGGGCACAGTGGTTTCTCCAGTCTGCCGCAGAGGAAAGGCAGGGTGGAGCTGGGACCCTGAAAGGAGGGCAGAGACACAGACAAAGAACAAAAGAGATGACCAGGGGAGAAAGGACTTTTGAGTTTCCAGCTGAGGTGGAGTCTGACTGGACTGGAAGGTGATCTAATGGGCAACAGTTAAGAAATATATTGTCCCAGTCATTGGATTTGATTGTATTTATGACTGACTATGAGCAAGATTGGGTCTCTATGGTAATAGACTACATACCTTCTGGATGATGTGGGACAAAACGGCAAGGTTACATATGTTTTCCTAATCCACTCTCTCTTTTACTTTTCCCAGGGACTGTCTTCAACCTTTCATGGTCTCCTTTCATATGCCCATCAGTAGGTCACATTTTTACTTCACTGAGAAACTAGAAACCTTCAGATGGCACCTCCCTCAGTTTCTTGAACAGCCATTACAGCTGCAGTAAGGCATCCCCATCAGTCCTTCTCTCTTTCCATTCTATAACAGTAAAAGAGTCTCCTACTCTTCTTTACAATTAATTATTCCAGCTGTATTCTGCATCCCTCTACCCGTTATTCCTAGGATCTTGCTCCATTAATTACCCCATTTCTGGCCTATATGTTCAATACTGTTCTTTCTTATATTTTTTCACTTATCGTCTTTAGCATTTAAGTATGCTCAAATCTCTCCTATATTAAAAAAGACAATTTCTTCAACTTCACAGTCCCCTTTAGCTATTACCTCTATCTCTCTCCTGCCCTCTAGTTCCAAGATTCTTCAAAGAATGCCTACTTGCCCTAACATCACTTGCTCACTCCATTCATTCCCTGACCAGTGCAATCTGGCACCTGTTCCCACTAGTCCATTGAAGCTGCTGTTTTCAAGACCACCAGTGACCAGGTGGTCACTGCATCTCACTATATTGCTTATCTTAATTGACTTTCCTGAAGAGCTCCCTCTTCTTTGTGCATTTATCTCCAAGATGCCCAATCCAGAGACCTGGGAGACATTCTCAACTCTCTCTACCACCTTCCATTCTGGACATTTGTTGATCACCTCCCTAGCATGCAGTCCTCTCTTATTCTTTTTACCAGCACTCTGAAATTTCCCACCACATAGTCTGGTTGAGATTGACTCTATCTCATCTCCAGGAAAGGTCCCTGATTTTTAATCCAGTCAGCACATCCCATCTTCCTGGCTGCAGTGTTGCCTCAAAGATGGGTAAATAACAAAAGTCAGGCCAATCAGGATCACTAAGACTCAATTCCAAAACTGTTGCTTAAGCCATCAGAGAATTGGACTTATTTCCTACCAGACTTGAGGTATATAGCTTCTGGAATTTCTGGCAGCTATCTTGGGAACACAAAAAAGAGGCTTGCCTGAGAGTAGAGCAGAGCTGGCATTGAGGAAGGAAAATAGAGAAATGGAGAAGGAAAAAATAGGTCCTGGTCATAAACCTTGAGTGCTGGATAAAGTCTTTCCTGAAGCTTCAGATCTATTCCCCAAATGCTCAGTTTTCTCAGTCAGTAAATTCTCTTTTTGTGTTTAAGCCATTTTGGATCAAGCTTCTAATTCTATAATCAGAAAGAGTTCTAACTGACATAAGCCCTTACGTCTAAATCACTTCTCTAAATATTATCTATAATATTTTGCAAGTCTGTTTAAAATCCTTAATGAGAAATCCTTTAACGAGATTTACCGAGCAAGCTCAACTCAAACTAACTTAACAATGAGGAAATTATTGAATTTCATAATAGGAAGTTCCACAGTAGGAAGATTTCATGGCTGATTGATTCAACCACTCAATGACGTCACCAGGATCCGGGTTTTTTTCTCTTTCTGCTATGACATCTTCAGTGTTGGCTTAATCATTTGGGCTGGTAACAGGATGGATATAGCAATGACTCATCCAGACATGACACCTAGAGGGTGAAGAAGAAAGTCTTTCTATGGTTCTTTCTTACCACTGGGGAAGTCTTTCCCCGAAGCCCTCCAGCAGACTTCCCCTTGGCTAGGATTGGGTCACAGGCCAATTCCTGATAAGACACCCTGGAGCAGTGGGCTTCTCTTCAGTCCCATGGCTATATATAAGGGAGTCCTGTTAGGGAGAAACGAGAGAGGATTGGAAGCTCAGGAGGAAACCAGCAGGGGCCACTACCGTGACGAACAAGGTGCTTCCTGACCTGGCTTTGCCAACTTCTCTGGCTTCATTTTCTGCCTCTCACCTCCTTACACTCGACCCTCCAGCTCCACTGACCTAAGTTTTGTTGTTCTTAGCACACTATGGACTCACTTGTACATTTAGGGCCTTAAAGTATGCTGCTGCCTTTGTTCTAGAAGGCACTCCCATGTCCATACCTTCTACTCATCTTTTAAGATTCATCTTACTTGTTACCTGTTATTTCTCCTGAGAAACTTCCCTCACTCCCAAGGCTGGTTAGGGGCCAGTCTTCTACACTCGTGATGCCCCTCTGCCTGCCCCATTAAAGCATTTGTCATATCGCATTGTAATTACCTGTTTACATCTTTGTCTCCACAACTAGAATGTGACCTCCCTGAGTGCAAGGATTCCTTCTTGGTCTCTGATGTATTACACAATGATTGAGGCATAGTAGGTGCTCAATAATTATTTTTTAGTGCATTTCTAAATGCCATAGTTCTCTTCTCCACGTTGTGAACCTGCCCGAAAATTTTTATGAAGTTCAGTGTCTCAACATTTTCTTTTATGGTTTATGTATCTGTGTTCTAAGTTGTAAAGATTTTCTTCTGTGTTTTCTTTTAGAAGTTAAATAGTTTTAGCTTTTACATTTTTTTTTTAATACAGAAGAAGTTTATTTTTTTATTTTTATTTTTTTATTTTTTAGCTTATTTGTTTATTGCAGTAACATTGGTTTATCACATTGTAAAAATTTCAGGTGTACATCATTGTACTTCTATTTCTGCATGGACTACATCATGTTCACCACCAAAATACTAATTACAACCCATCACCACACACATGTACCGAATTATCCTTTTCACCCTCCACCCTCCCCCCTTCCCCTCTGGTAACCACCAATCCAATCTCTGTCCCTATAGGTCTGTGATCCATGCTGAGTAACTTTTGTGTAAGTGTGAGATAAGTGTAAAGATTTATGGATATCCAGTTGTTCCAGCTCCATTTGTTGAGAAGACTATCTTTTTCCTGTTTAATTACCTTGTCACCTTTGTTGAAAATCAATTGACCATATAAGTGTGGGTCTATTTCTGCACTTTCTATTCTATTCTATGGATCTATATGTCTCTGTTTACCCCAATACTGCACTGTCTTGATTATTGTAGCTTTATAGTAAGTCTTAAAATGAAATTGTGTAAGTCCTACAACATAGTTCTTTTTTAAACTTCTTTTATTCTAGGTCCGTTGTGTTTTCATGTAAGTTTTAAAGTCAGCTTTATTTTAGAATCAATTTCTGTGAATAAGCCTGTTGGCATTTTGATTGAGGTTATGTTTGGGGAGAACTGACATCATAACAATATTGAGTCTTCCAATCCATGATACATTTTTTCATTTATTTAGGTCTTCTTTATTTTCTCTCAGCAATGTTTTGTAGTTTTGCACGTACAGATCTTTTATGTAACATATTTTGTTACATTAATCTCTAAGTATTTTATGTTTTTTGATGTTATTGTAAATGGTAGAGATACTACTGATTTTTTATATATTCACCTTGTATCCTTCAGTATTACTAAATTTACTTAATATTTCTAGTAACTTTCTTGTAGAATCTTTAGGATTTTCCACAAACACAATCCTGCCATCTAGGAATAAGAACAGCTTTACTTCTTCCTTTCCAATCTGTGTGCCTTTTATTTCTTTTTATTTCTTTATTGCACTGCTAGGACCTCTGATAGACGGTTGAACAGAAGTGATAAGCGTGAATCTCATTGCCTTGTTCCTGATCCTAGGGGGAAAGTGTTCAACCTTTTTACCTTTAAGTATGATGTTTGCTGCAGTTTATTTTGTAGATGTCCTTTATCAGGTTGAGGAAGTTCCTTCTATTTCTAGTGGGCTAAAAGGTTTGTTTAGTTTTAATCGTGAATGGATGTTGAATTTTGTTGAATAGCTTTTCTGCTTCTATTGAGAATCTCCTGTGATTCTCCTAATAGAGCACACTGCACTGACTCATTTTTGCATATTCAAGCAGCCCAGCCTCCTGGAATTCTGCCCTACCTACCCATGTACAGTTCAGTGTTCAGCAACAGACTCGGGGGGACCCCCTGGAGATTTCCAGGGCTTTTTTTATACGTAGCTTCTTCTTCTCCAGTCCTTGGCCCATAACTTTCAGCCACCTTAGCCTCACCAGACTCCAATCTCTGTCTCCTCAACTTAGTGTGATCGCCAAGCTCTGCTTGGGTTCCATCTCCCCAATAGCTTCTGGAAAGTACCCTAGGCAAAAAGCCAGGGTGATCATAGAGCTCACCTCATTTGTTTCTCTTTTGTAAGAGATGTCAGTTCTGCTCTGCTATTGTCCGGTGCTGCGTTGTGCATTTTATCCAGTTTTCCAGCTTTTAATGGTGGGAGGGAAAGTCCAGTACCAGTTATTCTGCTATGATTGGACACTGAAGTTGGCTGTAAGGATTCCTGATGGTAGGCATTACGTTTGTTCTTTTCTCTGATTCTTGAATATCTAGGGACTGCTTTGTCCGTGGTGAATGTTTATTAAAGATCTGTCTAACTCAATGCTTCCTGACCTTTTTGATCACTTTCTCTTGAAGCTGGCATTTCTTTGAGCTTCAACTCTAGGCCAGGCACTGATCAGTGCTCAGCTTATGATACAGGTATTATATTTTACAAATAAAGAGATGAAGATGTGAACTGATCAAGTGACTTGTCCAAGATCAGAGTGATTGGATTAGAACTCATCTCTGATTTAAAAGCCTAGGCCTCTGTTTTAGTGTAATCTCCCTTTGAAATTTTGATAAAAATCACTTATAGACTTGGTCCTCAGAGATAAGATTATTGACATGTACAAAAAATGTGTATACAATTTCAGAAGGTTCACAGACCTGCGAAGCTCATCCACAGATAAGCCCAATCACAAATGCCAGCAAGAGAACCCCTGGCTACTATAGCCATCCATACGACTCATTGTCATCTGAAACCCTTGGTGAACTTCTGAGCTCTCCTTCCTGCCTCCTGGTGGTTCTATATTACCTTTTACAATTATACCTCATACCATGTAAGACCACTATTGCCCTGCTGTGACACTGCCCTCAGCAAGATCTAAGGTGGGTCCACATGGGCCTATCCTTGCCTGGTCTTGCCTCACCCCTACATAACACTTAAGAAACCGATCCTAAGAAGGAGGGTATATTTAGAACTAGTTTCACATTTTCCCATCAAAGATCATCCGAACTAATTCTATCATACTCACCTCCAAGTTTATCCCAAACATGCAGGGTCTGATCACTCGCATGGTCCCTCCCCACAAGTGAGCCCATGGTATTGCCAGGCAATCCTACTACATTCCCTTGTCCTTTCACTTTCCTATTCTTCTGGGTGGTTATTTCACATTTTTTCCTGCCAACTTCTAAGACCTCCTTCCCATCCTTGCTTTCAGCTGATGACTTTGCTTCCCTTTTTACTGAGAAAATTGCTTCTGACTGCACAAGTGAATGTCTACAAACTCGCACTAAACCACTTGCTTCTGACCTTTGCTCTCTCTCTCCCGTTTCTGTAGACCAACTGTCCTTTTCCAAGGCCAACCCTTCTTTTGGATCTTAGATCCCATTCTCCTTTTGCCTTCTCAAGAACATTGCTCCAATTTTTCTCTTTCTACTGCATCAACAATTTTTCCTTTTCTACTGAATCATTCCCATCAGCATACAAACATATTGTAATAGCTCTCATCTTTAAAGAAAAAGTCTTGTCACTCTTCATCTTTCTTCAGCTACTACTCCATTTTTCTTTTCGCTATTGATCGCCCAACTTCAAGAGTTTTGATTTTGCCCACTGTAATCAGTTTTTCTCTCTCAATCTCTTTGAACTCAATTTTTCTAAATCCAATAGTCAATTCTAAGTTCCTCATTCTACTCATCCTATTAGCAGTATTCAACAAAACTGATCTCTCTCTCCTTCTTAATACACTGTACTCAGTTGTTTTCACACTCCCCAACTCTCCTGGTTTGCTTATCTGACCAGTTACTCTTTCTCAGTCTTCTTTGCTGCCTCTTCCTTCTTTTATTGGCCTCTAAGAATTAGGACACCCTGAGGTGCAATTTCTGAACATATCCTCTTCTCTCTCTACCGTGACGTCCAAATGCTCTGGCTTTAGCTACCATCTACCTCAATGGTTCCCAATGGGGGTGATTTTGCCACCCAGTGGACGTTTGGCAATGTCTAGAGACATTTTTCGTTATCACAAATGGGAGCAGGTGTTTCTGGCAGCTAGTGAATAGAGGCCAGGGATGCTGCTGAACATCTGAAAATGCACAAGACAAAATAAAGATGCCCTCCACAACCAAAAAGTATCCAACCCAAATGTCACCAGTGCCACAGTTGAGAAACCCACAGTTGATTACCCAGATCTCCTCTCTGAACTCTAGACACATATGCCCAACTTCTCACTCAACATCTCCATTTGCATATTTAACAGACAGCTCAAACTTAACAAGTCTCAATGTGAAGTTTGGATTCTCTCTGCCTCAGCCCAGGTTCCCTAGGACACAGACCCTGAGACAGGACTTGTGCTTTAATGGAAGGTGCGAGCCCCAGGCAGTGAGAGTAAAGGACAAAGGAAATGAGATAGGGAAGGAGAGGGTGCAAATACCAGGTGGTGTGGCACCAAGCTGGCCACTGCTTCACGAGCCACAAAGAGATACAGCCCTGTCTCCAGACCATGTGGTTGCTTGTCCCTGAAATGACTTAAGGGGGAGGGAATTTATCTACAGGCTCCATCCTATCTCGTATCTCCCACTGGGCAAGCTCCCACTGGTCCACTTAATGCTTCCACATGGCTGTGTTGCTCACCTGGACCTTTTTGTGGTGTTGAGAAATCCTGATTCCACTCATTGCTGTGTGGTCAACCTCAGGAGGCAGGACTCTGCTGCCCACACAGAGCTGGCTGTTCCAGCAGCAGCTGAGGCAGGGCAAGTGGCCACAGGGCAAGAAGAATGGAGAGGTGGAGAGAATCTGAGGAGAGGCCTCAACTGCTCAATACAGTAATAATTAAGACGTACAAGGTCCCAGACTTTGTGTAGCTCACATTCTGGTGGGAGAGAAGCTGTCCAATCCACTCCTCCAGTAAATGGCATCACCATCCACCTAGATACTAAGGCTATAAACCTAGGAGATGTTCTTTTTTTTTTTTTTTTTTGTGAGGAGATCAGCTCTGCGCTAACATCTGCCAAGCCTCTTTTTTTCTTTTTGTTGAGGAAGACTGGCCCTGGGCTAACATCCGTGCCCCTCTTCCTCCACTTTGTATGGGACGCTGCCATAGCATGGCTCAACAAGCAGTGTGTTGGTGCGCACCCAGGATCCGAACCGGCGAACCCCGGGCCGCCTCAGCAGAGCGCGTGCACTTAACCGCCTGCACCACCGGGCCGGCCCAGAGACGTTCTTGAAATATTTCTTTCCCCCACGGCCCAAATCCTGCCCTCTCTACGTTCAAAATGTAATTCTATTCCAACCCCTTCTCACAAGCCTACTACTGTCTCCCGAGTCTAAGCCATCATTGCTTCTGCAACTTAACCTCCAAACTTGCACTTTGTTTCCAGTAGCCAGAATAATCTTTAAAAATGGCAAATCATGTAATGTTAGTATATGGAGCCAAGTCCTCCAATATCTTCTCATTGCACTCAGAATAAAGTGAAGTATTCTTACAGTGGCTTAAGAGGCTCTGCATGATCTGGCCCCTGCCTACTCTTCTGACCTGCTTTCTACACTGCTCTTCCTTGGTCACTTCTTTCTAGCCACGCTGGCCCTCTTTTGTTTCCCAATATGCCAAGCTTGTACTTGGCTGGGGGCGGAGGCCTTTGCATTTGCCTCTACCTCTATCTTTCTGATCTCCCCATTCCTTCTCTCTCTCTTCTTGAAGTTCTTTATTCAAGTGTTACCTCTGCAGAGAGGCCCTTCCTATGCATCCAAACTTATATTTGTCACTCTCTACCCCTCTGCTTAATTTTCTTTACCTAAGATTATAAAATGTATGGTTTATTTATTGTCTATCTCTCCCACCAGGATGTGAGCTCTGTGAGGGCTAGGACCTCACATGTCCTAGTTATGACTATGTCTCCAGCACTAGAACATGTCTGACACATAGCTGGGGTGGAGCAAATATTTGTTGAATGAATAAATATCTCCAGACCCTTATCAATGATGAGCTTACATCAAGAATGATGAATGACCATGTCCTAGCTGGACAACTTTCTTCCAATTCCTTGGAAGTCCAGTTGTGCTCTAAGCATATCTGCTAGGGAGGTTGAAACCTCCAGATCTTATTATGCCCTCTAATAAAACCCTGAATTTAGGAAGCTGGGATCCCATGCAGTCTGCAAGCCTCTTCTAGTAAGGCAGTCTCCAAATGCTGAATCAGGGCACGTGCATCCACATGAGGCTAGGGAGATGACAGTCTTAGGGGCATTTAAAAGAAGGAAGGGGGCTACAGGCAGAGGGAGGGACAAGAACAGGGTAGGGGAGCCGGTATTCCTAGGACATGGTCAGAAAATGTTTATCAGATCTAGCAGGGTTATCTCCCTAGTGCTGTTAGCAGCAGCAGCAGCAATAGCAACAGCAGCAACAAAAATAAGGCACCGGACCAGCGCAGAGCTTCCTGTTTTATGTCCTTAATTTTTTTTACAATAAAGCAGTAGTGCAGAAAGCCAGGGAACCGTGGAGTTAGTGGGATACAGGAATACGTGTGCCGAAGTGGGGGGAAAGGCAGCGTTCCATGTGAGAAAGAGGAGATTAAGAGAAGTCATTGCTAATAGAAAGAAAAGCTGGGGTATGGATCCAGCAGAGCAGAGCGGAGGGAACACTTTTATTTTTCGGAAAGGAATGCTGGCGTCTGAATCTGGAGGAGGGACTTAACTAGCTCTCTACCCAGGATTGTTGCACTGCCTGGGCTTTCCACTAGCCACGATAGAGTGCGGGGGCGGAGGGAGATGCAATCATTGGCTTTGATTAAAGAGGTGGCTAGTGTGGGCTGGAGGCAACAAGACCCGTGGTGGTGCGAAGGGGTGGTACCAATGCAGCGGGGGAACCAATCAGCGGCGACTCCGGGTTCTTCAGCCTCCTCAGAGACTCAGCAGCAGTTGAAGTACCCGAGCTGCTGGCTGCCTCTGGCGGGCTGCAGGCGCGGAGGCGCAGCACCTTCGGGGGCGCAGCTGGAGCCGCACTCCCAGTGCACCGCGCACGCCCCCGGCTGGTCCTGCCCTGCGCCTCTGTGCGGCCCCTTTCCCGAAGAAGTTGCAAGCCTTGCAAATGGCCCTGTGGAGGCACTAGGCCAGGATAAGAGGCTGCGGGAAGAGGGACGTAGGTGGGAGGTGGGCAGGCGACTTGCTTCTCAGATACGTCCCAATTAGCACCAAGTTGGCAGACAACCCCACAAACCCACCAAGCCTTAGATTGCCCACAAGTCACATTCTCCGTATTTTACAATAATCTTATAGTGAAAACTTCAACTCCCGTCGTAAGTCAAAGAGGGACAGACTCTTAGCACCACCGCCTCGCAGTAACGCTACATAGAACAAACCCAGGTGATCCTCAACCGCAGAGCTCTACCCAAAGTCGGCATCTCTCCGAGAAGCTGGGCTGGCCCTGTAGAGAGCCCCCTGCCGGAGGGGCGGATGGCGTGCAGAGCGTGGCGCCCGAAGCGGATTATTGTGGGACTGCACAAACGCAGACCCATCCGAGGAGTTTTGCCAGGAACACCACCGCCTGCATTGCGTCGGACCTGACCATTTACAATGTGAAATTCCCGGGGAAGGTCGCGGCCAGGGACCGTGCGTGTGCGGGGCTGTGGACCATAAGGGAGGTAGAATTAGTGGTCGGCTTTTCTAGCAGGAGAAGGAAAAGGCTGTGCTGGCAAGGGTGGGAACTGAATGACAACCCCCCTCTGCCAAGCCACCCCCTCATATTTTCCGTCTACCTCCCCGCTCCTGCCCTCCCCCGCCCTCCCCAACCCACGCCCGGGTGGGCCAATCGCTGCTGCGCATTCCAGGCGCTTTCTCAGGTTTCTGCTGATCTTGCAGCGCCCAGAAATGGACCGAGCGGACCCGCCGCCGCACGCACCCTGCCCCACTCGGAGCTCCTAACGGCTCCCGGCGCGCAGCAGAGCCTCGGCGAGAGCCACGCCGGGGTGCGGGAATCTGAGGGGACCCGAGAGCCATGTACATCCAGGCTCTTGCTCGCCCGCCTCCTTCGGGATCGATTCAAGGGCTCCCACAGTGTTAGGAGGGGGCGAGAGTGCTGTTTATCGTCATTTGCTTCAGAGCTTCGGGAGAGGGTGGCATTTTGCTTTTCCGCCCCGCATCCTCCGGAACTCCCTGCACCAGAGAGAGGACAGCGTCTCTAGGTTGCTGGCAACGGGTGAGAATGGGGGTAGGGGATGGACATTTCTGCCGTAGCTGCTCAGTAAAGCGACTGTCCACCTGAGGGCCGTAGGACGAGGGGGCGAGGGCGGCGAGTTTGCCCCGGCGCCTCTCGGATGCTGCGGCGGCGGCGGCCGCGGCTCCCGGCCGGGTACTGCAAAGGCGACCTGCCGCATTCCGACTCGGGCTCTCCGCCGACTCAGCACTGCCCCTGCGCCAAGCCTGCCGGCCAGGTAGGGGGCTCCCCATTTGGGGCTGCAAAAGCGGGGTTTGGGGCGACCGGGTGCGGGAAGCCGAGGGTGTGGGGATGCTGCCTGGGATCTGGAGCTCCCCCAGCGTCTCTCGGCGCTTTTCCGATCTCTAGTTTAACGAAGTTGTAACCAGATCGGCTGTTGGGCATTGGGGAAAGTGGGATGGAACAGCCCCAAACTTGGATTTCGGGGTGTCTGCGTGTGTCTGTCTGTGTGTCTGTGATAACCCTAGCAAAAGTCCAGTGCTGTCTAAAAAAGCTAGAGGTCTGTGCTCTTCAGTGTCTGTAGGTCCGTCCCATCTGAATGCTTCTGATTTTCTACCCCCATATCACTTTCTATTTCTCTGCAGCGTCCATCGATCGCCCCGGTGGGAGCTTAGAAGGCGGCAGGCGAAGAGGGGTAGAAGGGGGGAGAGCCGAGGAGAAGCAGAGGGGGTGGCAGGCGAGGGGATCTGCTGAGCTGGCTCTGCACCCGGTCCTAGGAGGGCTCGCGGAGGGGAGGGGAGGCCAGGGTGACCCCCGAAGCGATGGCCCGGTCCGCTAGAACGGCACTGCGTTAAGGCACCTCGGAGCAGGAAGAAGTACCAACCCTTCCCCGACCCCACCCCTCTGCAAAAAGCTGCACCCGGGCTACAGGCAAGGGGGATTCCAAACTCAGTAAAGGCAGGGTGGAGGGGAAGGTAACGAGAAGCGAAGTCACAGATCTCTGGACCTCCTCGCTTTGAAGCCCCTCCCCCTGAGCGTGGGGGAGACGCGCACTCCGGTGGGGGGGGCGCTCGGGTCCCCCCCACCCCTCCTCTCTCGCTCGTTTCCACCTCGGGCTCTTTCCCGGTCTCTCACCCCTACCCTCCGCTTCCACCATGACGGTGATGTCTGGAGAGAACGTGGACGAGGCTTCGGCCGCCCCGGGCCACCCCCAGGATGGCATCTACCCGCGGCCGGCCGACCACGACGACCACGAGTGCTGCGAGCGCGTGGTGATCAACATCTCCGGGCTGCGCTTCGAGACGCAGCTCAAGACCCTGGCGCAGTTCCCCAACACGCTGCTGGGCAACCCTAAGAAACGCATGCGCTACTTCGACCCCCTGAGGAACGAGTACTTCTTCGACCGCAACCGGCCCAGTTTCGACGCCATCCTCTACTACTACCAGTCCGGGGGCCGCCTGCGGAGGCCGGTCAACGTGCCCCTGGACATGTTCTCCGAGGAGATCAAGTTTTACGAGCTGGGCGAGGAGGCCATGGACAAGTTCAGGGAAGACGAGGGCTTCATCAAGGAGGAGGAGCGCCCTCTGCCCGAGAAGGAGTACCAGCGCCAGGTGTGGCTGCTCTTCGAGTACCCCGAGAGCTCGGGGCCCGCCCGGGTCATCGCCATCGTCTCCGTCATGGTCATCCTCATCTCCATCGTCATCTTTTGCCTGGAGACTCTACCCGAGCTGAAGGATGACAAGGACTTCACAGGCACCATCCATCGCATCGACAACACCACGGTTATCTACAACTCCAACATCTTCACGGACCCCTTCTTCATCGTGGAAACCCTGTGCATCATTTGGTTCTCCTTCGAGCTGGTGGTGCGCTTCTTCGCCTGCCCCAGCAAGACGGACTTCTTCAAAAACATCATGAACTTCATCGACATTGTGGCCATCATCCCCTATTTCATCACCCTAGGCACCGAGATAGCTGAGCAGGAGGGCAACCAGAAGGGCGAGCAGGCCACTTCGCTGGCCATCCTCAGGGTCATCCGGTTGGTAAGGGTTTTTAGAATCTTCAAACTCTCCCGCCACTCTAAGGGCCTCCAGATCCTGGGCCAGACCCTCAAAGCTAGTATGAGAGAGCTAGGGCTGCTCATCTTTTTCCTCTTCATCGGGGTCATACTGTTCTCTAGCGCAGTGTACTTTGCCGAGGCGGAAGAAGCTGAGTCGCACTTCTCCAGTATCCCCGATGCTTTCTGGTGGGCGGTGGTGTCCATGACCACTGTAGGATACGGTGACATGTACCCTGTGACAATTGGAGGCAAGATCGTGGGCTCCTTGTGTGCCATCGCTGGTGTGCTGACAATTGCCCTGCCCGTACCTGTCATTGTGTCCAATTTCAACTATTTCTACCACCGAGAAACTGAGGGGGAAGAGCAGGCTCAGTTGCTCCACGTTAGCTCCCCTAATTTAGCCTCTGACAGTGACCTCAGTCGGCGCAGTTCCTCTACTGTCAGCAAGTCTGAGTACATGGAGATCGAAGAGGATCTGAATAATAGCATAGCCCATTACAGACAGGCCAATATCAGAACTGCCAATTGCACCGCAGCTAATCAAAACTGTGTTAATAAGAGCAAGCTACTGACTGATGTTTAAAAAGCCAAGCAAACAAACAAAAAAACCCCACTTAGCAGCTTGAAAGACTGGAAACACAAAACAAAACAAAAACCATAGTGACCCATGTCACTCTGTAGATACTTGATACGCTCTATTTAACTGTCAATGCATTGTTGCATTGCGGATTTTGGGGGTGATGAACCAGAAGCTTTCAAGATCCATGAAAAAAAGAAACTATTTTCTTTTTATTAAAAAAATGGAAAGAGAAAGTGTATTTTCTAAAGCTGGTTTAAAAAAATTCAGTCCGTGAGCTAGTCTAGGTAAAATAAGATTCATGTGCTTCCCCATACTGAAACATTTTTAATCCTTGGGCTTCTTTGATTTTTTTCTTTTAACTAAAAATCAGATGATCACTTAGGAGTAGAAAAGTAAAATTTGCACGGGACTCCAATATAAAATCTTTACAAACTGCACCGCACAGTTAAGACAGTGCATCTGATGTATTATCTGTAACATGACATACCAGCCAAGATGGACAATGAACAAATGTTTTTATTTTGATCAACTGAACTGCATATCACAAGGGGAAAAAATTACTTGAGACTGGTTCACAAAGCACCTTATGAATCTGATACTGGTCCAGATCTGTAGGGATTTTCCCTCTGCCCCATTCCCTTTCTAATCCAAACTATTCTCTAAGAAAAAGAGAACTGAGTTAAATTAATTGATTCATCTGCCCTGCTGCTAAGTTTCTCAACTGCAGATGAACAAAACACAGGTCTTTTCTCCCCAGTCCTGCACCCTGACCCCTGGCCTCCAGAACTGGATATAAAACCTTAGCCTCCTTTTTGCAAGACAGCACAAATGGCGTTAAATGTAAGCATGTTTGAACCTGATAATATTTATTTTATAATCGCATGCTGAGACCGTTAACTCAGACAATAGAGGATAAGCTTACGTTGGAATTGACTCTTCTAAAAATAGATCCTTTTTCATTTGCATTCACCAAAAGTGCACTCCTTCATTTATTAACTATTTTATTAGTGAATAAAGTACTGTATTTAAGTGCATATGTTAGTCAGACGGGAACAATAACTTTTTGGAGCTCACAGCATGTTCTCTTATTCAGCATTATGGCCTATTTGATTAAGGTGTACCTTGAATTAATTAATGCATGATTTCGGTAAAAAAGATTTAAAAATAATAAAAATTACAAGTTTGTGGGATGAAGGGCCCAAAAGAAATAATGGGGGTATGGTGGGGGTCACTAAGTCAATTTTCCTGCCTTTGCTCAGGGAAATGTCAGGTTTCTTGCAGGTATAGGCAGAAAGGACCAAGATGCCCACTCCTTAAGGGGAAGCTATGTGGAAAACTAAGTAAGTTATCAAGGTGTATATAGCAACACCTAAGAACAAGTATTCTTTCTAGCTGAAGATAAACACAAGCAAAACAAACAAACCAACAAAAAAAGGTGCAATACTGCATGTTTTTTGGTGCATTCTTAAGATGTAAATGAAAATGTTTATCTATTGTATGCATCCAAAGCAGAGCTGATTTCTCTTTGCGGTCATGATTTGAAGTCTTTAGAGACTTTGGCCCTCCCCTTGAGGCTCCCTGAAGAAACTCAACCAATTGATTTAATAGTTGCTTAGTGCCTTTATCCTGTACCCACAGTGAACTGTAGAAAGTGCCTCCATTAACACAGCTGAGAAGTCATGTTAAGAAAGGGAGGAAGGTTGGGGCACAGATCTTTTGCTTTTCCCTTCTCCACCCTTGCTGTCTCACTTCACCATTGTGCGAAGACCACACCATGCTAAACCCTGAAGAGGAGAGATCCAGGAAGGTGCTGTCTCTCTGGCCATCCACTGGACTCGGTCCCTTTGGCGGCCTGACATGGGATGTAAACGGGGCCTGAGACCCATCTTCGAACTGGACATGAACCGTGAACTTGTTTTTCCTCTTCTCCACCAGAAGCCAAGACAAACTTTTTGGGAATGTGTTTCCTATTGAGGAAGGCACTCTGGGCATGCAAGGCTTCCTCAGATCCAGTGTATTGTTCCTTGTAAAGTTCCTTATCCCTCCTCTGTTAGCAACAGCACTTTGCAAATCTCTGATAGTCTGATGTGGTCAGGCATCACTGGGGGTATGGGAACACTCAGTTCATAATAACCTTTCCTAGGCCTTCCCTCCTGGCCTGCTCCCTTCAGATATTTCCTGTGATGCTCCTCTGGTCTTCCCACCTGGCAGTCAGTTCACCGGCTGAGCATCTAACCTGCGCTGCCCCAGGCACCCAGTCCAGAGAACAGTGGGGACCCTGTGCCTAGCTGAAAGAGAGCCATACAACATAGGCCTCTGGGGCCCAGCAGCTGGAGAGGCACTCACAGCCTTTTTAAGGACACGGAGGTGGGGAATCTTCATTCTGCACTCAGCATGTGGCTGCCTGCTGCTGACCACCTTACATTCCTGCCCTGCTTCTTCTGGAAATCTTCCCTGTTCCTTCCATCCCTTTCCCAACCCTATCCTAGAACTAGCAGCGAGGCAATAAAGAAGCTAGAGTAACACCCAGGCTGGCTGACTCAGTTGAAAGAAAGAACATGGACATTTTATTTTCCTGTGTGGCTTCTGTGAATCTGTAAGACAAAGAACGTAACATCATGGAAGACGAGGGGCCAAGGACTGCACAGCATCTGACCACAGGGCATTAAACTTTCCCATGTGATGTTTCCTTCTCTTCTGAACCTTGACTCATCCTGGCTATTCCTCTCCCACCTGCTTAAAAGTCCCCTGTTGGGAAAAAATGCCAACCTCCCCTAAATTTCCGGGGATATCTTGATCTTTTATTTAGACTTTGAGATCTAGGACACACAGAACTTGAAACACTGCACTCTGTCAACAGCAATAATCCACTCAGTACTGTGGGATGGATGGGTCAGAGGATAAGAAAATGGGACAAGCCTGATAAGACTGGCTTTGGCTACCTGGTTTACCTCTTGTGGTTATACGCTGGACTCGTGATTCTTCTGCATGTGTTACAGGAAAAAAGTGCTGCATGTGGTGAACCTCAGCCTGGGATTGGAGATGAGTTGTTGTGAATTTGGGTGGTATGGGGAAAGTGAATGCTGCTTATCCATCTGTAGCTCATTGCAACCAAGTCCGTAGGAACAGAGTACGGGGATTCTCTGTGTAGCATAGGCATGCGGAGTCTGACAAAGCTCTTACCCTTGCACTGTTATGTGCTGAAATGTTTTTGTAGACCTGAAGGTGCACTTAAAAAAACTGCCTAGTAAGGAATGACTTTCTTTTGGTTTACTTACACAGATTTATTTTATCGGGCTTTTTACCTTTTCGTCCCCTTCCTAAGTCTTGAGCTTCAGTGGCTCCTGTCCTGAATACTTGTTTTCTCTGGAAGGAGAAGACTTCTGCTGTGCTGATAGCCATAGTTCAGCTCTTCCAGTGCATCAGTGCCCTAGTTCCATAGGGTGACAGTGGAAGGGTTGGGTCACATCCCAGAATCTCTGACGTGGTTAACTCACCTCAAGGGATCTGAATTAGAGAGACCAAAGACACTAATTTCCTCTGTCCTCAGATTTATAGAAGACAGACTGTAGCCAGGAAAGGTTTTTGTTTTGCATCTCTTCTTCCCCATCTGTGCACAGCCCTCCCTCGCTCCCCCTTGAGAGTTGAGTTCTGATTATCAGTTAAAACAGCTCACTGGGAGTGTGTTAGTGAGTTAGCCTAGCAAAATCGAACCAGTAACAAATTCTTCTCCTGGAATATGGCTGATGGACAGACACTTCTCTAAAATGAAATTGTGCAGTCGGTTTAGATTCCACTGTGGTGGAACCGAAGCACGAGTGACATCACAGTCTTGACTCACTTGAGAATTAAAAAAAAACATGTAAATGGTAAGTGAGGAATCGATTTCTTGAAGTAGAAATTTGGTTTAGTCCCTAAAGGGCCTTCTTCGTGTTGTGTAGGGTTACAGATTTTTCAAAATAGTTAACGTCTGAAGAGTCAGTAAAAATAGTTTTCTAACCCTCCCATTTATTTAATAAAGGAGACCTCAGAACACATGCTTTTTAACAATTTTACAGTTGAATCCCTTGTTTGGTATGTTGGATTGAACAGAAAGGAGAAGGAGAACATCAGCAGAAGGCAATTCCCCATTTTCTTCCAGGAATGACTTATTCCTGGGAGTGGTGAGAATTGGTGGGTGGTAACCATCCATAGTATAAAATTGTTATAAAGAATATAAACTGCCAAACTGCCATTTTATCTTCCCGTTTTTTCAAGAGAAAATGAAGTCTTTTGATTTTTATGTTCATTTCAAGGGGACGGATAAACACACGAAAAGTTTTAAACCAGACGCAACCCAAGTTGAATTACTCTCTCAGGAGGTGGCCTCTCATCCACCATGTGGTGTATTAGGACACATATTTATATCATGGAATTTCAGGGTATTGTGAACATGTTCAGCATGACTCAGGTAAACCTTAGAAGAATGTATATTACTTATCATTTTTGTAAAGAAGCGAACAGGAGCTGAGTTATTAACCAAAACTGTTCCATTACCTTGGGTCACTGTGCGAACTCATTCAGGTTATAAGTATAAGGTTTAGAAGTCTTGGGATAAAATTCCCGTCTCTTTGCTCAGGCAAAATGACCATGGGCTTCCTTGGGGAGTCCAGTGTGTGTGTCAGGAGTGAGGCCCTGCCAACCTCAGGACTATTAGCTTTAAGATTAGCCCTAGTCACAGTGATTTTCATTTAGGGGTTAACTAGGAGTTTACTTTTTAGGACATGAGACTTCAAAGAGTATAGAAAAGTTTTGTACCATAATCAGAGAAGAAGAAGAAATGGTGTAAGGAAAGAAAACAAAACAAAACAGAAAATCCCTTGCAAAATATTCCAGGTCAAAATTCTCCTCTCCAAACCTTACAGAAGCACCTTTCTTCTCTGCAATTAGGGAACCATTTATGCAGCAGCTGTAAGGAGACAGCATGGACTCTATAGACATACCTCTAACATTCAAGATAAAGTATTACCAAGGTTCAACATAAAAATTGAGTAGTATTAATTTAAAGTGCACCATCAGGACAACAAACCATTTAAGCTGAACAAGCACTCTTCCATTTCTTGAGTTTGCCAGTTGCTTACACCTTGAGTTAAGGGCGTGTCTCATTTTCACCTACTGTGCGTTTCCCCGGCCCTAGCTGTTTACCATGTCGGGTAGAGGACATTGAATGTCATGAATTGAGAACTTAATTGAAGCGCATAGTTTTCATCTATGCAATTTTACTTGCTTCTGTCACTTTATGATCTGTTCATATTTGGCATCAATTAAAGATAATTTTTAAGGATCTTATCAAGGAATATCTTGACTAGTTATTTGTCTCTCCTTTAACTGGTCTTTTCGGAGCCCTTTCTTGTGGGGTCTCTAACATAGTGAATACAAGATAAAATGCTGAAGCAGCCTTGTGTTCTTTGTAATTCACGAACTATTTCTTCTGTACAAGGAAATACACTGGGCTTGAATTTTGACAACAAATTCACAGTTTGAACTCAGGTAGGATCCCAAGTAGAGGCTGTTGGAATTTGGCCTGTGAAAACTGTGGGATCAAGCTTCGAAAAGGAAAAAAGAAATGAGGTGCAAGGGAGTAAAGTAATTGATTATATTCGCTTAAATTGTTTTCGGTTTGAAACTGTATTTTTCATTCCCAGTCTAAGCTTTTCAGGAAGGATAGCCTGTGTGTGTGTGTGTGTGTGTGTGTGAGGGAGTGTGTATAATAGTGCTGTGGTCTGGCATCAAATAACTTCATAGTTACAATACGGGTTAGAAGTGATTTTGATGTAGAAAAACAAAGCACTTTCTAGCTGTTCTTTACATGTACTTTTCCCAGGTAGTTCTACATGTGGTTAACATTTCTTTCTTCCTGATTTTTTGTGTTTTGAATGACTTGTTGGTGCGTTTCCTTTTGATTCTTCCTAAGATTTACAGGTTCTCCTTTCTTCCTTGTGAATATCATATTTTATACAAGCTGTTTTATGTCAAAGCAAACATGGTTACAAGCTTTATGACAGGTGTCTGTTATATGCCCAATGCACTGGGTGGCTGGTGCATCATCGTAGAATTGTATTGCGTTGAGATAGGTTCAAACTGTAAGATTCAGAGATGAATCTTGCTTTTTCTCTATAAGTTACTACTGGAAGTAGATTATGAGGCTGGGCAGGCTGCCCATGATTTTTCTCTTGTGGTCAGAAAACAGGCAAGGCAGAGTTCTGACAGAGAAGGGTAAGAGAGAGCTAGAACCACATCAGTGGTAGTGGACAAATGAGCTAGGACATTCACAACCCTGAGCGTGTTTCTTCGAGCTCAGCCTTGGAATGTTCTTCTGGTAGCAGAGGCAGACAGAGGCAGGTAGCTGCAGGGGTAGGGCTATAACTGGAAACTTTGTTGTTTATAGAGCTTCAAAAAGAAGTCAAGTCAGTTTTATGGGAGGCCAACCAGAGTCAAGAACAGGGAGCTGCTGCGATGTGATCCCAGCCTCTCTGCCACTGGGTAGGAAGCTGGCTGCTGCTTCCTGCAGTCAGTATAGGCTTGTGAGCCCTTGAGTGTGGAGAGAGAGCTAGCCCCGAGGCTGGGCAGTGTGCCCCCTTGCACAGTCCTGTGCAGATAAGACAGCATGGCCATGTGCACAACTGGAAAGCAGCTCTTTGAACCAGCTTTAAAACAGGTAATTGAAAATATCCTGTTTAATTAATTGGATCCGATATACCATCAATTTTAAGATGCTCTGTTGTTTGACCTATTTGTAAGAAAGGGAGGCCATTGACAATTACGACCCGCCATTGCATTGCTTCCTCCCAATTTTAGAGATGTTAAAAAGTGAAAACAAAACAAAAAGAATCTTAGACTTGATGAACTACAGTGATTCTAATGTATGTCCCCCTATGTTTCCCGGTATGATAATAGGTTTGAATTCTAAACCCATTAAATTTGGCAGTTTCCTGAACCCTGGCTAGAACCTTCAGGTCTTGTTTTAACTATGTTTTTTTTTTTTTTTTCCTGAGGAAGATTAGCCCTGAGCTAACATCTGATGTCAATCCTCCTCTTTTTGCTGAGGAAGACTGGCCCTAGGCTAACATCCGTGCCCATCTTCCTCTACTTTATATGGGACACCGCCACAGCATGGCTTGACAAGCGGTGCGTCGATTTGTGCCTGGGATCCAAACTGTGAACCCCGGGCTGCCAAAGAGGAGCACGTGCACTTAACTGCTATGCCACCAGGCCGGCCCCTTAACTGTCTTTTTATTCAACAGTGTATTTGCTCAGCCCTACCCTTCACCTTGGCTTTGTGCTGGTAGGTTTTGGAGCTCCATCTTCATGCTGTTTAGCATCCAGAGATCATTTATTTACCCAGTGAGGGCCTTAGATTTCCTTATGTCTGGAGAGAGGTTTGCTCTCGCTTCTCCTCCCTCCCCTTACGCCTTAATGGCACCTCCTCTGTTATTAGACGTGCAGAACCTTCAACAGCCTTTGGCTTTTGTCAAGTTAAAGGTAGTCTGACATTCATTCCCACTAAGGTGCTAATAGCAACACCTCCAGTTTGTTGAGCTCTCCTTACAGTTTTCAAATCACTTCCACATTAATTATATTTCTTTATTCTACTTGGTGAATTAGGTAGGGCTGATGTTGCAAACCTTGTTTTATAGGCCAAGTGACTTGCCAAGGTCGCTGGGTAGAGAGAGCAGCCTAGGTTTATTGATGATTCCATGATGCCATGTCTGGCACATAGTAGGGACTCTGAGTGTTTATTAGCTGATGGAATGCCAGACAGTGTAATGTCACGTGTTAAAGAAAGACCAGTGGACTTTGAAAGGGGCTTAGGCTCTTTGAGTCTTTAAATTGCTCATATCTAAAATGGTAATATAATACTACATAGAGTTGTGGATTAAATGAGATAATATAGGTTAACTTTTGTAGATTCTAACGTGTTCTATAAATGTGAGATATTAACAGATATGTTATTAATTATAATTATGAAAGAAGGAGTGGGGGGAGGAGGCTGCTGCATCATTTCTCCCCAGAGGAGGCATGACTCTTTAAAGGAAGACTCCAGGGAGATCAGATGCTTAATTTAAAGATTAACTGTGTGACGGTGGAATTTGAAGACTTGGGGCCAGCGATGTTTTCTGGAGGAATCTTCAGGACATCCTGTATGTAATACCGGGCGTGCAGCAGCCCCACAGAACTCTGAGCCGCTATGTCTAGTTTTGCTTCTCCCTTGCTCTGCAGCATAATACTATTTTACATCTCCGGACCCGAAATATCAAGGGTAAACTCTGCTGTGCAATAAGTTGAGGAACCAGGAGGTATCTTTAATAATTTGATCACTTAACTGCCTCATTTCCCCCAGGTGCAAAATATTGTATAATTTGATTTTTTCTTTCCACCTGTGAATATTGAGAAATAAAGCAAGATGTTGTTTGCGAAGTTTTCTCATATGCTTGTCTGAGAAACATTATATAAATATTTTAAAAAACCCTATTCTTAACTTCCCTTGCTAAAAATAAAATAAACCTCATGAGCATACATGAGTTAATACAGGCTTTTCTTGAACAGCACATACTACAAAGATGGATATACAGATTTATGAGTTATAATATCTCTACAGTGGTCCAGCCCTTCCTTCTTAAAAATGATTGGATAAAGTAGCTGTGATTTAAATAGCAGTAAGACTTTTATCGAGTTTTCTTAAGGAATTTCATTGTAATTAAGTAAGGAGTTGAGTGTCTGTCAGAATCATTAGTTCACGAAGCATTTTTCTAGAGAATAACATTCAGGAGCTAAATTGAGTTCTCTAACCTATTAATGATTTTTTAAAATAGATTTCACATGGCAGGTTCATGTTTGCTGTAACAGATAACATGTTCTCAGTGTGTTTCAAGTGCTGAGCATTAAATGCATTTTAGGAACGTTTTCAGAGAAACTAATTCTAGTTGAAATTTATTTTTTCAGAAGTGAAATCAGAGGATGATGAAAGAGTAGAGGCTTAAACTTAAGATAATTATGGTTTGAGCTCAGGACCAAATCCAACTTTTATTAAAAATGCTTATTTCTCAATATTTTGAGTTAAGAGTGTTTGGAAATCCAAGATATTTTAATTATCTCTATAGTGATGATTGCTTTTTTCCTTCATTCCGTACAATATCATTATTTCACTGTTTCAGAGAGGGAATAATTTTACTTCACGTGAATTTCAAAGAGAATCTCTCTGAGACTAAGATTCACTCCACCAAATGTTCCCTCTTCATTCATAGGCAAAATGTTTTTAATCTTGGAGAAAGTTGTGTGTATGGCAGTCCTAAAAGATGGTATACTCAGCTCAATTTTTGAAAGATCACAGGATATTGGCTTATTGTTAAAGGACATTTCTGAGTTAGATGGAATGGCTTTTTTTTAAGTTTCCAGAGGATGAAGATCACATTTGTTGGCATTTAAAAAATAGTCCTTATCCTTAATGGATATAGATGAGTACTCTAAACATCATTTAATCACAATTTTGGCAATTCAAAAAACAAAATAATTGAATTTTATAACATAATGATTAACATGTTGGAAGAAAAATGTTTGTCCACTGCAAATATTTCCAAGTGGTGCATTAGAGCACTGTTTTAAACCAGTGGCATCCAATGGATGTGTTAAAGGAGGTTGTTCTGCATGAAAAAGTCAAACACTTGACTTTAATTATAATTCTCAAGAGTTTACAGCAAAAGTATGATGGGTAAAATGAGAAGGATGTTTTACCTGCCTGAACTTGAAAGTTCAGCCAGGACAACTTTCAAGTCTCTAGTTTTAAAATGGATGATTAGGCAATAGACTGATGTTGGGGAGATTTGTGATCCTGGCTCATCTGTTGTGCAATAAACAATGTATTAAGTCACTCATTAGTTACCTGTGGTTAATATGGTGACTAAAATGAGGTCTCATCAGTTAATGCTATTTAATCTTAAGTGATGGACTATTATGCTGTATAAAAAAAAGGCATATAAATTGTGTTATACGTCAATTTAATGTGCTCAGTGGTCAGCCCAGTTGTGATGGAAACAGTTGTTGGAGCGCACTAAATTATCCAGGAAGTTTGCTGTTGTTCGGTAAGATAGACTCTTTGTTATCACAGATTATATGCACAGAGTCTTAGAGAGGAATAGGAATTCCTGAGATGATTTTAAGGTACAGTCTTGGGAAGCCTTAGAACTCTAGTGTTCAAAATTAAAGAACAACACTTCCCAAACCTAAAGGGAAAATGATTAAAGATGATTTTTAAAAGACAAAGTCTTATAAAATGAAGAAGGATAACCGTGTTTCATTTAAATGCATTTCTTTTATATCTGATGATTTTATAGTTGGTGCAATTTCCACCATTTACATAAAGTATCCAATTACTCTGTGAGTGAAAATTCTGAACTTCTCAGCCTGTTACAGCAATTCTCAACTTCTCTGGCTGGGCTGACACTGAACCCTCATTGTATTGGGTTCAGTTCCCCAATTTAGTAAACAAAGCAGTTGAGATTCGTGGCAAAAACGGTTCTTCTTGGTGTTCTTCTCCTTCGGGAGGGGACTTTGTTGTGGTTTACTCTGACAGGGGTTGTAATTTCAACCAAAATAACTCACTGATCATTGAGTTCCCTCCCAAGACCTGAAGCTTGAACATTCCCAGAAAATACATTTCTTCATCCATTCTCCTTGAGACTGGATTGGTGCACTTTTCACATATATCTCTGCTTCCTGCAGAGGTCAGGTGTTGGCAGTTAATTTTGCTGGAAAATGGTTGTTCATATTCTGAGACCATCTGGGGTTTGATTTGCTAGAGCATTGTCTTTTGGATCGGTGGTCGTAGACATTCTAATATTTCTTGAGAGCCTTAAAAGTTGTTTTACTGGCACTTGCGTCTATGTACCTTTCAGGGGTAAAAGTGGGAAAGGGGACTGGGCACTTAATTTGAAGGTGGAGAAACAGGACTCTGTAAAAGTAAGAGCTGGCAGAGAGGTCTCTAGAACTGGGAATTATATGCCAGGTATATTTTATCTCTTGCTTGTGCTATTAAATGCCCATACATTGCTTATTTCAGGGCCCTGATATCTGTATCGCCAGGAAAACGCCTCTCCCCAGCCCCAGCTCATGCATACGTGCATGCACGCACTCATACACACACAAACACACGCATGAACACACACACCTCTGCACTCTGACCTCTACTCACCTACCTGCCCATGAGCCTGTCAATATCACCTGTGCTGTAGGGCAGGTATGCGTTAGCCCAAATGGGGTAACACTTTCAATTGATACTAAAGATTTGTCACCATTCCCTTTTAATTAAGCAAGAAAAAAAAAATCATAAAGATCTCATGATAAAGTTTTCCATTTTGTGGTTAGAGAGACTGCCATTCAAATGAAAGGAAAAAATAAAAACAAAAGCCAGACTGCAGAGTTGAGGGTCCGGGGGTACTTTCCTTCAGGCTCTGGGGTCTCCCGGCAGTGAGAGTGGTGAGGGTGGCTCTGGCTCTCTCCTGCCTGGGTTTCCTCCACAGCCCAGGCTCACGGTGCCTGACAGTGGCCTGGGGTGGACAATCTGTATGTATGTAGGTCCCCGAAGGGGCCAGAGATGTGGCAGCTCTGAACACTGGTCTTTTCCTGCCTGAGCCATTTTCTTTTGCTTTGTTAAATTCAAAAAGTGTGTGTTTTCCGTCATATGGTCCGCTGAGGAAGTGACCTTCCTAAGTGGAACACTAGGTCAAAGCTTTAGGTTATCACCTTGGATTTGCAGAATTTGGGTTCGTGGGCCCATGGCATGTCTCTTTACTACCCTATGAGTTTGTGTGCCGGTTTATAAATCTAGGGGATAGCAAGAATATCTGTCTCAGCACTGCTATTTGGCTGACTTGCAAATGCCAAACTATTTTGATACTTTTTGAAGAAACATGCTTTACCACCCCTCCCCGCCAAACGCTGGCAACACTTCTCAAATTTGGATGGATGGAAGACTTGTCATAAATGAATGAATATTTAAGCGATGTAATACATGAAAAGGTATACAGTTGCGGTATTACTTACATTCATGCCTCAGTAAGGTCAGACTCTCTAACTTTATTTAAACCCTAAATGTGCAGACCACAGGAAAGGCACATTTTTGTTTGCTTCATGTACGAATACCACACAACTTAAAGGGGTCTTAAGTTAAAGGACAAGTGTAATAAGTGTTCCTTTTTTATCCTGTACAATTTATAAGTAACTTGCACATGCATGATCTTATCTGACACTTACAACAGCTTCTTGAGGTGGCAGGTAAGGTATAGATATTTCTTTCCAGTTGCACGTTGAGTCCCCTGGGAGACAGGCTCAGAGATGGATAAGCAGGAAGATTGCTGGGGAGTGCTCCAGCATTATACCTGAGGGGATAAGAGGAAGCAGGGATGAACAGAGAACGAAGTTGGGCTGCAACGCAGTCACAGCACAGGTCCAGCCGTCCCTGCAGGGAGCTCTGAAGCTGGGCTGGTCCTTCAGACTTGTCCTGGCCTTGAGGCATGGGGGCCAGGCCTTTAGATGTTCTTGGTGACCTGTCTTTGGATGAGGCTTCCCTGGGAAGGAACATGACCTCGGACGAGGTGACTCTCTTCATCAGAGGCAATTCCCAAAGAGGGCTGATGGCCGAGGGCACTCCCAACAGCTGGGGGGATGAATTCTCCAGTCATGAAGGGGTCTGGGTGGTGCATCAGAGCACCCACCACAGAAGGAGTAATAAGCTCATATGTGGCCAGAGGGAATTCACCAAGAGGTAGAAAGATGAGCAATAAAGCAGAGGAACGTTCAGAAGTGGGATCATCGGTTTCTAGTAATCAAGAGTCGACTGCAGTTTATAGATTGATTTGTTAAATGGACAAAGTGCTCTGAGGCCCCTGGAGATGCTCCTTTCTAATGCATGCTAGAAGGCATCTTCCAGGCTAGCCTGAGCTCTCCTGTATGGATCGAGTTCAATTATTAATCAGGAGCGGTGGGTGATGCTGGCTAATGCTGCCTAATGGCACAGGCTGGGTAATTGTGCTCCTTTGTAATGTGTGCTCAGAGCACAGGATCGGACAGTATTGACATAGACTGCTCCTCACTTCGTCTGGGCACCTCTGTGGTGTAATGCTTTGAGGTCCCAGTGAAATGCACCAAACCACTTTTGTGACTTAATGCATCTATGCAACATTAGCACTTCCTCTTAATGTGTCACATGGATGATAAAGAAGTGCCTGGAAGGGAGTTGGTGGGAAGGGGGCTTTTAGAAGCAAACTCGCAGCCCCTGTGGCACTATCATGAGCCCCTAAGTGTTTTTGTGGCCAATTTAGAACTACTCAGCATGGAGTTCATACACCTGCATCCTCATTAAGAGAGTCAGCTTGGCATTTGGTCTAGAAATGACAGGATTATTTAGATTTTTCGTCTGAAAACAGATCTCAGGGGAACTAATTGTTTGGGCAGCTTTGCACTTGGATCTGAAAAGAAACCTCTAGGCGATGTGATTAATGGTAATTCCTATTACTCTGTGTCTCTAGCCTGCTAGCAGGAAATTTTTATTTGCTAAATAGCCCAGCTTGTTGCAGCAGAAACAGATCTGGTCCAAAGTAGATTTGAAACTATTCAGAGAACAAGTATGATTCCCCAAACTTCTGTCATCTGTAGTGCAGAATCACAGTCGTGTTGGAAATCTAGATTTTATATTTGAATCCCAAACCTTAGCATTTTAATATTTGAAGTTTAGAATAAAATGCTAACTTCTTTTGTCTTAGGTGGTAAATTATATAACCACGGATCCCTGCAGTTTATAAACTAACCATTTAAGGAGTAAAATTGGATTAGCCATATTCAAGGCAAGCCACTTTCAGAGGTGTCAAAGACCCTACGATATTTAGATTTTGCCACAATCGCTGGAGTCATACTATTACCCGAAGCCTGCAGGTCTTGGAACAAAAGGAGAGGGAAGCTAGAGAAGCTTGTCACCTCAAAGCTTCGGCTCCCACTCCGTGCTGGAAACATTGTCTGTGTGTGTATGTTTGTCCCTTTCCAGTGTCTTGGCTTTCTTACTTACTTTTCTTTCTTGCTTTTAATTAAATTTTTCTAGGCACCAGTGAAAAATAGCTAAGCATGACCGTATTTCACATCAGACTCTTCTAGAATAGTGACCTGCTGGGAAAAGCCGAGTTGGAACAAAAAAGTCCATTTCTGTCTGGCACTCTAGAAACATCGTAGCTGTCATCTGATTCTTCTAGAAAAATGAGCAAGTCTCCCAAGATGGGTTCCCTTCTTTCAGAGCTGGAAAACAAAATCAAAAGGACTCTAAACGAATGAGATCATTAACATCTCAGTGTCTCCTGATAAAGGAAAGAATTATTTTTATGCAGTAAACTGAATAGACATAAAGAATTATATGGATACATTCAATTTTGCCAATAAAAATATTTTCTTTTACCCAAGACTCTATTGATCCACTCTCAGAAACATATTTGCAAGTTTATGAGGCTCAGAATTACCTGCTCTTTTGCTGAATTCCCTTGTGACTAATGCCATATATGTGTAAGGGAGCTTTAGAGGCACAGTCAGTGATCATTTCCCATCATGCAAAGTGTACAGATTATTGTAGGGAGCAAACTCTGCCCTGGACTTCTTCATTATCAAGGTCTGCTCATCTGAGATGACTATTTTAAACAGCACAGCTTCATTTAGATGGAATTTCTATTCATTCACATTTAAGAATGGAATAACAGAGAGGCTGTTATGTACATGATTGCTTATATATATACATATATTTTTGTTTTTGTCTCAGGTCACGCAAAAACTGGAATATTGAACACAAGCTACCAAGTGAGATCCTAAATACTACACAGGATCTAGAGTTGCATCTGGTGGAATTGTGACATTTTGTTGGGAAATTGTGTATAATAGTATGAGATATGGAGATCCATAATGACCAAGGCTGTAATAGACTAAAAATTCTAGACAACATCCAAGACCTGGAATATTTTTAGTTACTATGAAACGAGAGTGTCTTGGGTGCTAGCTACTTAAGGGAGAGGCTAAGGAAGTTCATCCTTGCTGCAGTTTTCTTTCTGTAGTCTTTGCAGCCGCAGGACAGTGGCACCCTGGGCTTCCCGGCAGCATCTTGGGCAATGTTTCCCTGTATTCTTATCTCAGAGGTAGCATCACAGAGGTGCTGGCGCTGTCAGAAAGATGGGTTTTGTTTTGGTTTTGGTTTTGACTCAGAAGCAAAATCTGGACTCAGAGACCATTGGCTGTGTTGCTATGTCAGTGTGCCCTGTTGTTTTCTTAGCTGGCCTTCTTTTGTGAGGTGTTGAGACAAGTCTTCATTTCCATTGCAGCACAGAGATCTTTATATCAAGAGAAGCTGAAATTGTTATTTGGATTTTGCCTGTAAGCTGATGATAACAAGATCTGATACTAACAATACCTTGAATCCATGTCATGGACTCATAGACTCTCAGAGTTGATCTGAACCTTTAAAGTCATCAATTTCTTTCACCTGTTTTGTATTTAAATCACCTCAACAGCCTCCTTGGCTGGTCTCCATCTTTTCTGTGTTGTGGGATTTGAAGAGCTTGGCAGTTACCAGTTTGAAAATTCAATTCTTTATCGTTCTATCAATGTATCATAAACTTGATTCTACTGATGAGGAAGGGCAGAGCAATGGAAAACGTCCAACTGCTCGAGGTCATAAAGCTGGGTCGTAGAAGAGATAGAAGTCAGAAATCCTGACTCTCCAACTAGGATTTTGTTCACATGGTCTCATACTGTTATGAAGATAAGTGATTGATGCAAGCTTAGAAAAGTGGTATCAATAGCAATCAATGTATTTTATTCTTGTGCCCGTTTTAAGTGATCTTATCTGGACACAGGGGTTGTTTAGCATGGCG